AACTGTCTGTCCGGGGTGGGGGTCGGGTCCCTTTAAGCACAGCCCTCGGCTAGCCTGAGACAGCATCTCCACGCTCTAAGTTCTCCTCTGATGCCCTGCCGGCACTGCTTCCGGCCATCCTTAACCCCGGTTCAGGGTCCACTTAATGTTGACATGCTAGTTCGAATTAGCAAAACGCTAATTCGAACTAGTTTTTTAGTCTGGATCCGTTAGTTCGAATTAGCTTAGTTCGAATTAACTAATTCGAACTAAGTTAGTTCAAATTAGCGCTGTAGTGTAGACATACCCTAAGGCTCATAATATTTTCATACCATATTATTTTATGTGATGAAGTTTTTAATGTTCAGAAAAAAAGCAATGAGATGTGCATGAAAATACTGCAAACTCAGCTTATTGGCAATTGCAAGCAAACCTTTCCAAATATAGGGCTGGCGCCTGGAGACATTGTACCTGAGGCATCTACAGCACCTCTGAGAGTGTGTCTGACTGACACACCTTTTTATCATGGGTCAGTATTCGCTCCCCCCACATGTTGGTGTGGTGGAAGTAGGGTGTTGGTCCCTTCATGCCTTACCCCTATGAGGCTTCCAGCTCTGCTCTTAGTGCTAGATTATCCGGTGCTTGCATACCAGGAATGTGATTGTGAATGATTCCTGTAAAAGGGGCAAGGCAAATATCAGGATAGAGTAGCTAACAGAATTGCTGGGACCCTGGCCGGGGGGTGGTGGGGCGGGAGCATGCTCCATGATTCTGGAAGGGGCAGGGCCTCTGGCAGAAGGGGTGGGGCCAGCTAGCCTTCAGCGCCCACCAGCCCTTAGCAAAACATAGGGTATGTCTAGACTGCATCCCTCTGTCATCAGAGGGATGCAAATTAGGCAGGTCGACATTGCAAATGAAGTGAGGATTTAAATATCCCACACTTAATTTGCATAAAAATGGCCACCGTTTTTGCCAACTCAGCACTTTGTCGGCAAAAAGTAGCAGTCTAGAGGGGGATCTGTCGAGAGAGAAAGCCTTTTTCAATAGATCCTGTAAACCTCCTTACAGGAGGCATAAGGGATCTGTTGAAAAAGGCTTTCTTTCTCAACAGATCCCCCCTTAGACTGCTGCTTTCTGCCGACAAAGTGCTGAGTCAGCAAAAATGGTGGTCATTTTTATGCAAATTAAGCATGGGATATTTAAATCCCCGCCTCATTTGCAATGTCGACCTGCCTAATCTGTATCCCTCTGCCAACAGAGGGATGCAGTCTAGACATACCCATAGAGCATGCTGCATGGGGTTCCAGTGTCTATTTGAAGGGCCAGGGGCTCCTGCTACTACAATAGCAGCTGGGAATCCTGGGCCCTTTTAATTGCCGGGTGCTGGGGCAGTTGTCTCTTTTGCCCCTTCCCATCAGCGGGCCCATAGCCGCACTCTGTCTCCTCACTTGGGCAGAGATAGGCACAGTGTAGCTCCTGATAGGCATAGCATGGTGTACATAGGCCAGATCAACAGTGCTAAACAGATTTATAGCACGTGGAGATTGGGCACAGATCTCTAAGGTGAATCTGGTTTGTGGTTCTATATTGGCATTTTCTACATACGAAAAGCTCTGTTTCTACACCCCTCCTCCCCACTCCTACCTTAAATGTGCCTATTTTTATTCATTCATCTTCACAGCAACCAGATAACTGAATGCAGCTGAATGCATCCAACCCTCCTTACCCCTGCCTCCAAAACATTAGTGTATTTGTATCTAGGCAAAATCTGACCAAGCTTGCATTTGAATGCAGATTTTAAGCATGATCATAGATATCTCCACTTGAGCCTCAGAAAGGAACTTTGTAGATCATAGTGGAATCTGAATACATTTCACAGAAGAACGAAACAGTTGAAAAGTAGTTGCTGTCTGTAAGTAGTATCTATGAACTGGTTCATTTTATAGCGATGAGCATGAGAACTTCCTCCTGTGAGTATACTCTTAGTTAGTGTTGATTGGAACATTTCTGATTAAATTTGATTGTGCTGAAGCCAAAATATTTTGAGAGAGATTGAGACCAATTTGGAGTACGTCTAGACTGCGTTGCTATTTCAGGATACCGGAAGTATCCCGAAATAGCAACGCCACATCTTTAAAAGCACCCATTATTTCCCAAAATAGGGATTTGTCAGAATAGTGCCTTATTTTGAAATTTGGCACTGTCTACACAGCGCCATATTTCAAAATAAGCTCTTTCGATTTAGACTCGGAATAAGCTACATAATTTGTTTAGCGCAAATTGAGTAGCTTATTCCGACAGAAGGGCGCTGTCTAGACGCACCTAAGAAACAGAGGTTTTCACATTCGATAGTTTGGTGGCTAGAATAATGTCCTGGGAGACTCAGGTTCTGTTCCCTGCTCTGGGCTTCAGAGTGTTCTGGGATTAAAACAAAACAAAAAACCTCTCTGTTTTATATTTAAGAGAGCAGGGATTTGAAGCTAGGTCCTACACTTCCCAGACTAGTTCCCTAGCTACCCACTGACTTTTTGACACCTATTTCCCCATCAGTAATCTTAGGTTTTTTATTCAAAAATTGAAATGCTGACACCTTTCTGTGTGGCTGAAAACATTCAAAACAGTTTGTTTTTCACTGAACTGCATAACAAAAACAATTCTAGAAACTTGCATAGTTGCTGTAAAACAGGTTTGCCATCCTCAGGCCAGCTCTTCTTGTGCTGATGCTGCCACTACAGAAAGCCAACATTTCACTGCCTGTATATCATCTGCTGTTTGTATTGCTGCACATTTTGATAGATCAAGGATCATACAAATCCTCAAATACAAGTAAAACACTTTCTGTCTATCGTAGAGAAAAATGGAATAAGATCACTGAACTTTGCCAGCTGCTCTGTGAATTGAGGACCTTGAAAAGGAGGTACAACGGCAACAAAAAGTAATGGTCTGGATCATGGGCCAGTATTCCTCAAGGAGCTCAAGATATTTTATGACGGGCATACAGAACTTTGGAACTAAACATGAGTTTTCCTTACAATGGCACCAATAATGTTTTAAATAGAGAAGGAAGAGTAGTTTGTTAATCCGAGCATGCAATTGGGAGCTAGAAATTTTTGTATTCGCATTTGAATCAGCCTTTTCATTGTTGAATGGGCCTCTAAAATATTTAATCAAACTAGAGGGAGGGGGTAACTTATATTTGACTATTCTTGTCATGACACTATGTACCATGCTGGCTTAAGGATATAGGAAACTGAGTCATGGGGTGATTTTCAAAGGCACGTATGTCCTTCTTTCCTGACTTTCAATGCAAGATAAGTGCCTAACTGGCATTTGTGCCTTCTCAAAGCCCCTCCCCTCTTGATCCTTTGTGATGCATCCCAAACCTAAATAACTAATGTTAAATGAGAAATATGAGTTAGAGGCAGAATCTTTAGCATTTCATCCAATCTTCTGCTGCAGAAGTGGAGCCTAGCTACTTGTCTTGTTCAGCTCTAACAATAAGTTTGCATTGACGTAAAGTTTGAAGGTTCTTTCCAAGGATAGTGACTTGAAAGTAATTTTTAAAGCAGAAATGGAATTCTTTATTTTCCTGCCCCTC